AGGTGGCAGCTTTAGGTCGGGACGAATAGAAAACACCAGTGAGGACACGATATATAGTCGGAATAGGGGATCCAAGAACCAGGAATAGCACACAACGATTGAGTCAATAGTAATTACTACTACGCGGGTGAAAATTCCACCCGTTTCTGTACCGAATTGCTGTTTATCTATTTGCCTAGTCGTTACTCCAGTACTCGACCCTTTCATGTTGCTCAACTTTCCGCCTGAAATGCATCATCATCGACAGCATGATATCAGTGTTCAACACCGATGCTTCACTGCCATACAACCATGATTTATTTGAAAGCCTTATTGTGAAGAAAAGAATAAAGGTTAACAGGGAAAGGACTTGATGCTAGCTAACCACAATCGTTCCGGGGTGCCTAAACCGGGAAATGCAAATGCATTACCATTTCTACGGAACAAGTCGCCACATATTCCACCCCCCAACCTGGAGGGCCAGGAGACTGTGTTCGTCAGACCTTTAACCATGGACCAACATGGTATGAGAGACTCTGTGAGTGTCTCGAGGACACTCCCCAGTATAGCTCAATGGATCGCTGAGATGCGCAAACCGTCACACCACGGTAAGGTCCAGTCTCTTCATGACGGCACCATCTTACTGTTGCATCTGTGACAGAGCTCATTTCTTCCGAGTCAGTTGGAGAAAGTGCACTTTCTTTGAGTTTACCTCATCTCCTTGAGGTGACGTCAAATCAATCAGAAGAATTTTAACTGTAATTCCGCATGGTCCTAGCGCTACCCCCTCCCCGGAATCTTTGTTCGAAAACCATACGAATGACCAATTGGTGGCATAATACCTGTGGCGTCTTTCATCCCCCAAAAGCCCATTCAAGGATTCAGTTATATCTACGATGTCGGTTGTGCTCTCACTTAATAGATCCCTGATCATACTGTATTTAGGTACCAAGAACAATTCCACAATATGATCAGTTGATACATTTTACTAGCAGCTGTGCGCGAATTGATCTTTCGTTTTTCTCCTAACGATGTTGTGACCTCGTTGTACCGTCATCGCGTACGCATTGACCCATTATTCTCTTTCAGCTGTCGCCACGGAATCCTGGCTTTGAATCGCTCACTCCCAATTCCTCCTGTTCCACTTCTACCAGTCGTAGTCTATTGCATGTCGAATTCACACTACCGGTTCAACCAGCCTTGTGTCATTTGTTGGAACAAACGGATGGACAAAAACCCCTTCAGCCGTAAGTCCTGAATAATTCACCCAAAGCACATGATTGGCGAGTATACGGTCACATAGTAGGGTGGTAAGCTTCCAAAAATAGCCTGGTGTTTTGCGACCTAACTACCCCGTGCAACTGTCTAGGTCATGGAACCAAGTTTTCTCAACACATATTGTGTTGCGAACGGAATCCTGGCTTTGAATCGCTCACTCCCAATTCCTCCTGTTCCACTTCTACCAGTCGTAGTCTATTGCATGTCGAATTCACACTACCGGTTCAACCAGCCTTGTGTCATTTGTTGGAACAAACGGATGGACAAAAACCCCTTCAGCCGTAAGTCCTGAATAATTCGCCCAAAGCACATGATTGGCGAGTATACGGTCACATAGTAGGGTGGTAAGCTTCCAAAAATAGCCTGGTGTTTTGCGACCTAACTACCCCGTGCAATTGTCTAGGTCATGGAACCAAGTTTTCTCAACACATTGTGTTGCGAAAATTCGGAACTGATAAATGCGTCATGTCCTAATGAAGCAATTGTTATTCACCCATGACGGTTCTTGGAGATTGATGAGTATTCGATAACCAAACGACTTTGGGAGTGAGCGAGTGGCATGTTTGTTTAAATTTCCAATCAACCTACTGTTTTTGGCCGTGGTCTGGTCGACGCATCGCACCGATTCGCTACACAGCGACGCATTGATTATACCATCTTGAGTGTCGACAAAATGTTTCCAGCTCAGTGAACACACCAAGTATGTGTACAGTACTACTGCTCTACGGTGACCCCCTATAAAGACCTGTTTGGGACGAGTTATCACTTTTCTTAGGCGAATAGCAGGGTGCTCAAATCACATGTGACATGCAGCTAGGCTCTGTCTCTTTCTGTGAAATTTAGAGGGTAAGAAACTCGAAGTATCTGACCATCTTAAGCTGTCATTTTTGGCTGGTCCTATAAGGTGAACGGAACGAATAAGTTGAAACAAAAACTACCACCACGTTGAAGTCATTCAGTCTTTCTCTTTTTTGTTTACACTTTGTTCTACTCATAAGTAGGGAAATCATGCTTGTCATTTTTTGTTCTGCTACACAGCCTTGGAACGCACAAAGCTCCGAAAATACTCAGCTGTTCACCGCCTACACCTAACCTGGCAGATCCATCGACCGGAGATTCCGTTGTCCTGCTCCATCGTTCACGCACAGCGCCTGGAAGTCCATCGGAAGCTATGGCGGAGTCTAGTCCAAACGTAATACAGTCTAATCAGTTCGCATCCTCATCCCTCGTGGTCAACAAGGCCGCGATGCGCCGAAAAACGGTACTTCCAGAGAAGCAAGGGGTACAAGTTAAAGATTCCCGCACCAAACCGAACAGAGCGCAGGCTGTACCACGTCAGCCCCTGGATCCCTGTTCGTCTTCCCATTCATTGACCACTGTCCGGACACCCGATGCAATCAACAAACGAGAAACTTCAGCTCGCAAACGCGACCAGGTTTCCAGGTGTCCAGACACTCAAACAGGTACAAGGAAGCAATCAGAGATACGTGTTAACAGCTTGTCTTCTGATACTTCCCGGCATAACCCACCATCTCCACCAATCCGACCCAAAACTCGCCCACCTTTGTCAACTTCCGAGGGAATTTCATCTAGGAATTCCGATATGCGTCGCCGTAGTTCATCGAACCATGCCGTGGTTACTCGATTCTAATGTTCCCGCGGCTATTTCAACTTCATGTGATACGTTAAACACTACTATTTGTTTCTGTATGTATGCATAAAAGGGTTGGATCATTATCGTCACAGTTCCCTAGTAAGTAAGTAAGTAAGTAAGTCTTGTTGGTGCTCTTACCACTTATTTGCACGAAGCACCTATACTCCTCAGCTAGCACATATCACTGCACTCCAAATCCAAAATCCTCCCCCCCCCCACTTGTTCGGTTGTTGTCCTGGTGATATCTAAACTATCTCTTATTTGGACGTTCACCCATTGATACTTAGTTTTATTGGCCGCATCTCCGCACAGAAAATTTCTGACTTTTCAGGTACACCGGATGAAGGCGCTTTCCCAACGTATGCAACCCACGAGATTTCAAACACTCCGAGAATTCAGGTGACGGATAACGACAGTCGTTCAGACGATGAACGCATCTGGTCCAACACGATGTCGCTGGAGCCCGATTTTTGTCCAAATTCAACCGATTCTTGGTTTTCCACTCACACTCCGCTGATTCGTTCCCGATATGCCCCGTCCAGCCCGCCTGTTCCCTCATACCTGACCATGGCGGCATTGGCTGCAGTTCAAGGTAGCATCACTGATGACTTGATTAGATTGAGTATGGTAAATGATCGTCAGGTTTCATCCCCACACAAGTCCCATGGTACACACCACCATAGAATGATCTCTCCCAGTTCACAACCTCCTGTAACTGACTTTTCGTCAACCAAGACTACCTGCTGGGATGTTCAACTGGCCAACAGATTGCGCATTCTCCGAGAGGTAGGTTGCCGGAAGTTATACTTTGCCCCTTGACTTTTACTTGAGTAATGAGTGTATACAGTTGGGGACAGTTTTTGACCGGGCGTCATTTGTCTCCCCACCTCATCGTGTAAATCTCATATTGGCACGCTCGCTAACTCAGCTTGTGGTTCCCCCACGAACATCGTCGCGTAGAGTACCGGGGAAACTTTCTAAGCGGACGCAGGATAGTCAGTAAGGAACGAATCCGTTCCGAAACTCGGACCATGGGTATTTCCAGCTTTGAAAATGTTCAGACGACTCCACAGTCTAAGGACATCTCGCCTCGAATAAAGGATCATTGCGATCTTTCCGATGCAGTTGATATTACTTACAGTGTGAACAAAGAATATCTGTGATATCAGTGCATGCACTCCCTCCATGACTCGTGTTGTATATCATTTGAGTTTTCCCTCATGGGATTCGCTAATAAACTAATCGTTCAGCTGTAACAGCCTTTTGGTGCATGGCTGTCGAGCCACCCGAAGGAAGCATGAGGACTGAAATTCTGCTATCCACTCTTGACTAACGGAATCGAGGACAATGCGGAATCACCGGTTATCCCTGGTGCTCTGATGGATACGTTGAGTGCTTTCCAGCCCGGCCTTCTCTTTGGTAACTTTTTTCAGTTCAAGAAAACTGAAGTGCCCATTTCGATTTGATTAGTTGACTGAACTGCTTCTGTCCATAGCTCACTGAAGCACACAGCAAGATACAGCATGTATTGAAGTGTGCTCATACTGTAAGATTACCTGAACTTTGCCTAAGCTAGGAATGCGGAGGACTGGTTTGAGAACCACCATGTCTTTAGCTATCTCGCATCCATCAAGAATGGCTTTCCCAATCCATCCGCGTGAAACTTTTGCGGACGAAACTACAAATCTGTCTGAACCCCCCACATCTCTTGCGGTTTTTTTTACATCACATCATCTGATCTAACAGCGGGTTTGCACATGAGAACGTGTCGAATTGATGTTTGTGTGTGGGTTGCTTTTCAGTAGCATTCATTACTATCTAAACATCGCGGCTTATCCATTTGTACGACCCAGAGCTGACCGAGTTGGTTATCCTCACCCATCATGCACTTCGTTCACTACTGAGTTCATGCAAACTCTCCAACTTCCATTTCTCTTAATAACTAACACGATTACCGCACTAGGCCAGATCACCCAGTCTAATTTGTGGACGTGACTTAGTTTCAAATGCTTTTGCTCGTATATCCTCTCTGGATGCGAATGATCAACCGCGAACTTTATCGATTGATGGGCTGGTAAACGACGCTAGGGCCAATATCCCGGTGGAATTATTTCGTCTCAGGTGAATGTCAATCTTATAGGTGGCTTGGTTGGGGTGAGATGGCCCAAATGGTTAGAGCGCGAATTTACCGTGGTTCGAACCCGACATCTGCCACTTGACTTCCCCTGTCTAGGCTTGGGGAACCTGGAAGTATCCCAGTCCTTGTGCTTCCTCCGGGTGGCATGGCAGCTAGGCACCGAAAGGGTGTTACAGCTGAACCACCACACAGGTGGTATGGTTTTCTCTAGTCTCCAAAAAATGTACGCCCACAATCAATAACCCGAGGCCGTTTCGGTTATATTTTTTCACTTCATCCTACTCTCTAACCAACCTTCCCTTTTTGTTCCCCTTTGCAGGGTTGCATTTGTTTCAAACATTCATCCATGTCTACTTACAGGAAAGTGAAAGCGAAGAACCTGCGAGAGTGTTTCGGGAAGACTAACACCGGAGACACAGTATTCGAGAGTTACGATGCACTTGCCATTCTAGATCATTCTGATCACGTCCTTAACAAGCGTGCTCATGATCAATACATGTCTTTCACAGGACCCACTTTTTCCAACTCGTCGTGGAATTCGACGTCAAGCTCACTAGTCACTTCCACTCCTTCTCCATCCACTTCTTTATCCCATTCATCATCCGGCTCACTTAGCTTCGATGCTCTTTCACCTCCCAGCTGTCCTTCAAAATCACCCGTGTCTCACGCACACTCCACGGTCTACTACACCGGTTATTCCGATACAAATCACACGTCTGTCGCCACTCCACTAAACACCCGACGTCACAAACGTGTCCACAGCACCTGTCTTGGCCCGACTTGGGTTGGTGAATCGTCAGAAAGTGAAAAGACGGTCGCCACCACCACTATCTCAGATGGCTTTCTTCATCGTTGGCGGCACCATCGTGTAAAATTCCGCTGGGCAGTTCTAGTCGTTTCCGACAATCCTATCCAAGGCATTCCATTTGGCCTGGTCCCCCGTGCTTTCTTAGTTTTGTTCAAACCCCGTCGTAAACATACCAGGCTGACAGTCCCCGTTAGTGCCGACAATACTTCGACCACCATTCAGGGAAGACAATCGACAGCACGGAACTGTGCCGCATTATCAAGTTGGTCATCATACCCCTATTCCCCTGATTTGGTAAGTTTATCAAATCAATAACGACTAAAATAAGACCAATTCACGATTAGCTGTCATTGGCCCTGTTTAAAATCCACCCTTCTCTGGCTAAATCAGCATTCATCTTGCTTTATTTCGTGTGGTCTTGTACCTTTGTCGGTTCGATTACTTATTCTGCCACAACTACGTAAACGCCACCCCGCACACGCGGACTAACAAATGAATTGAACATTGAAAAAAAACTTTTCCAGAGGCACTGTTTCCAAAACATTGATAATTTTCCGACCCATCGACGAGGACAAATAGTGTAAGCCCGTGTGTTTTAACCAAGTCAATTGGAATTCCGACAACCGAGCGATATTCATTTTAATTCCTTTGTTCAAGCCGTCGTTTCGCCAGATTCCAACAGGTGCCTTCATATTGACCTTTACGACTCGAATTTTATTGATCTTCCGTCGAGCGATAGCGATCATAGTTGAATCGTCTTTTTCATTTACCTGCATGTTAATTTTAAGTGAAACGAAAACTTTACTTGACCCACAGTTCGACGCGTTACAACACTACACTGCGAGATAGACAGTTGCCGCACCATCAGGGGAGTAGAATGCACAAACCCTCTGATCCGTCCCTTCTAAAGCGATCTCACTGCGGGAAAACGCAACAAGTATAATGTGAAGGTCAGAGCAACCCGGCTTCCAGATCACCTTAGCTGATCTCATTCTGAGAGCCAACCAATGACAAAACAGGTGGTCTCCAGTAAATAATGGTAAATAATTGTTTGGCTGTAGCATCCTTTTGGTGCATAGCTATCATGTCACCTGAAAGGAAGCAAGAGGGCTAAGATACTACCGGATTGCCTCGTTCCCTTTACTCGCACGCAGTGTCGAAATTCCCCTGTCCAACTTCAATTGGCCAAGTTCGGTGGAGCGTGACATGGTCCCAACAAAATCTGTGACACCAACGCTGTAGATAGGTATTTGAGCGTGTGCACTTCCCACAGGTTCGAACATGGATCACTGCTCGGTTCTTTTCCTATGCCTGAATGCAAGTTAACATCAGGTAAGCCGGCTTAAAGGTAGTACAGCTGACACTACAACCCATTGTCCCATTCGAGGATATGTAAGCAAATTTGGTGGATATTCAATACAAAAGGCAAGGCAACCCTAAACCACCCCGAATATCCGCACCAGTACAGCATGCAGGCAGTTAGAGTTCTGGATTCATGGAGACGTGATAAATGGTTACTGTCACGGAACGGCAACGTAACCTGAGATTCTTGTTGTCAGTGGTGGTTCATTGATCGGTTTGGTTTGTCGGCATAACTTTCCTATTTAGTTCTATCAAGGAGCTTGGGGAATTGAAGGTCGGTTGTCATGAGGGGATGTTATTGATCTGGGGAACTTACATGAGAGTGACTGTATTTTGATGTGCCTACACATTTCTCCCCTTCAGCAAACAAAGACGCTGAATACTGTCAAAGCATTTATTTAAACTCAACGTTTTATCGCCATACAAGGTCGTAGTTAAATTTCCTAAACTGTTCGACACCTTCGTTCTTGATACTGATTAATAAATGGTGAATGTGAACGTTTCATCACTTGGCATAAGATGGAAAAGAAGTTGTCTACAGATGGATCGTTGTTGGAGATAATGTCTTCCGCGGAAAAATACGAAGATTTGAGGAAGTTTCGATTTCGGTGTTGCCACCCACCACACACGATTGTGTCCACACTTCTGGTGTAGTGTTCAAAAAGTGCAAGAACTTCGAAAAACTATCAACCTGATAGCCGTAGTGTCCAAGATGCTGTCGGTAATCATCCGGCGATAGCCTATCCGTTTGACAGCCGGTGATTGAATGCTGCCGTAGCTAGCAACGATCAAGAATAGTTCTCGTTGGGCCTAAGGCTTATTTCGAGGACGTCACTCACCAGGCGATGAACGGTACGGCTATTAGCCAGAAGCTAGCGCATTTGGGGAAGCATAAGTAACGTCTGTGCCGTCTGTGTCAAAGTAATAACAACGGTAAAGGATAATTCTCCCCGGACCGTGCTCTAGCGCAAATACACTTTCTTGACGCGTGTTTCGACGAGGAACCTTGCGCTGTATTTTCTGCTGGTGAGTAGGACAAAAATCGGCAAGGGACGCAACATATAAACCATACCGCATGGATGAGACAACGGTCTGGCTTATGTGATGTTTGACATACTGCCGAATGAGGAACCTTGCGCTGTCATTTGTGCTGCTGAGTAGGACGAAATCGGCAAAGGGCGCAACGTATAAACCATACCGCATAGATGAGACAACGATCAGGCTTATGTGATGTTTGACATACTGCCGAAAGGGAAGCCGATTGTCGTAGATGAATCGGGGTGATGTTTTTGGTATGAAGTTCGTCATCATCATCATCATCATGGACAGCTACTCTATTGGGATGCCGATTGTCGTAGATGAATCGGGGTGGTGTTAAGTTAGGTTTGTCGTCTCCGCTCATTAATTGTCCCGCTGGTTTGTCGTCTCCGCTCATTAATTGTCCCTATTCACCGTTCGCATCGTCTCCAGTTTTCACCCCGTCGTTGTGAAGTGTTGCGAATACAAGCGGCGGTAATCGATCCAGACGCAACTGTCGTCCCCTCTGTGCTGGTTTTGGATTCGTCACAAGGACCTAAATTGAGAACCTACAGACTCACACGCTATCCAGCCTTTACGTGCGACAAGAAACAACGACGCTTCTCGACCACACCAAGGTGGCGATGCGTGATGGAGTCAACTACAACACCATCACTGATTTCGAAAACAAGATCGGAAGTAAGTTTGTTTCATTTTAGATAAATTTTTCGTAACGACTTGTGGCCAATATTAGGATTCTACAGTCACAGGAAAGCCAAACATCATTCTGATTGGACCTGTCTTATAGTGTGCCATTTTATTTTTGCGTTCAACTTGGAGATATCTGCATAAACCGGTATGAGTGTCTCTAGGGTGGAGATCAGGCCTTGATAGACCGAACGGAAAAGCGGAGTTAAAACGTGACCATTCGACTCACGCTGTGTTTGACTCTATTCCAAGCGAGTCCTAATAGACTAGCTGTTCCCATAAAAGCTCACTATTCGCCGACGAGAGTCAGATTTTGTGTTTATGGTGAAAAACCTCCGAGTTTAATTCCAACTTACATTGGCAATGCAGTTTATTGAGCGTACGTATTTCCCCACGTACCAGTTGGAAATTAGTGGAAAAACGAAGTGGGAAGTCAGAGGGCTGAAGGAGTAAACTATGGTCATATGCGTTTGTTCTTGGCATATATTTCTACTAATGACGCACGCCTGGTTATTACTGATGTCATTGCTTTCGACTACGGGAGCCAACTGTTCATCTCGTGTTTTTTATGCAATCACTCGTAGCCCTCTGTTGTCGTAAAAGTAGCTCAACCAAGGTCGAATTTAAGACTCGAATGTGTCGAGTGAGGTCCTGAGAATTAGTGAGGTGGGTGACCAAAGACATCGACAAACGCTAATGTGGACGGAACTGTGCTATTGTCGTCTTCAATACGAAAGCTCGTTGCTTTCTTGGTTCCAGGTGCCCCTTGCCGTTTTTCTCCATGGAAAATTCGGTTTACGATTCACTCTTAGTTTCAGACGGTTGAAAATACACTGCGTTCCCATGCTTTTATTTTAGCTGATGCACTCATTGCGTACTCTGTGGCCTTTCCATTGGTCTGCCACAAAGTGCCGTACGAAATTTGCAGAACGCATTGGGAAATACACTCCTCAAAGCCGATCACGTGCTCCTGTGTTGATGAGATCCCCAACCAACAGAGGCCCGTGGGACGTCTGGTATCCTCTTCTGGAACTATTCCACGACCCACAACCTCAGGAGAAGCTCAAAAGCGAACAACCCCCGATCTAATCGTCCCCATCGCTACGTACTTTCGCACATGAAAAGATGCCTTTCCCACCACAGTCGACTAAATGACTGTGATTGTCGGTTCAGATGAGACGGGTGTACCCCTTTGCATTTCAGTGTGAATACACCCAGCGTGCTGTTTTGTTGGATGCACGAGCTGCCACAGATATTATGGGAAATTTTCTTATTTCAGTTAATTTTTTCTATCCTTTTATCATATCGAATCATACGTTCCTGTCACAATACTCTGTTTGTGTTTCTCTTGTTCAATACTTCAGAGTTCCATTTCTTATGCAACACCTATGTTGCTTCCGTTTGTGAATAACGTGACCAGAGAGAACACAGTAACAACAAAACTCATCGATTTTTCACACACTGTAAAATGTCCGATACAATCAACCAGTTTTGATGAAAAAATCACCCTTAGCTGGTCGGAAAGCGCCAGACATAGAAGTGATCGCGTCGAAGTCTACACGTTCCTGGATTTTCACAGACTTCACGTTCTCTTCGTGCTTGTTCACCAAAACAAGTGGTCCATTTGGATCTCCAGGACTGCTCGGTGGGCATTCGGTCCATCCGTTTTGTTTGATCAACTGCTTTAGCTCGGCCTCAGACATATCCAATAGGCGAATTAACAGGGATTTATGAATGCGTTGATACGTTTGGCACACTATTTGAACAATGACTGAAGGGAAGGGAAGCATCAAATTCGAGATGAGAGGCAGTTGGAATGGTTTGACGAAGAAGTCTCAAGTAAACGTCAATAAGTCACTCAGAAATGGTAGTTCGGTGGTGATACAATTAGTAGACTGCATTTTCATGCCTCGGACTTCGGTAGATCTAACTTGCTTGAATGCTCATAAGAACCATTTCGCTAACTTCACTGTCCACGCACACAAATCCTCTTGTCTTAGACCGAAAAGGCGAAGGCTACGCACTATGATTATCTGTGACATATTTGTGTCATCTAAAAGTTTTGCAGTTGAGTACGGAGGAGTAAAGAATAATACTCCCGGAAAGATGAAAATATCGCATTTTGCAAGCGGGAATCCATGTGAAATACAGACTGGATTGAGGTTGCACAACCGCCATCATAGTGAGTGCAGTTATGAGTCAGGAGGAACAGGATGGCACGAACAAGGATTGCATGCAATACGAAGTGATCGCTTAGCTGTTCCAAATTCGGCAATCCCTCTGTCGGGACCGGCCGAAGTCATCGTCGTCCGTTATGAGGAGCTGGTTGCTCCCGGACTCCTAAAAATAGCGGTGTCTTTAGTCATTTTCAGGCACAGCTTTGGGCACTTCCTTAAATGACTTGAAAACCCCAGTCGATTCGAGCTCTCACCCGTCAGGCCTTCTAATAATAAGTCAAAAACATACTGAAAGAGTTCATGTGTCAGGTGAGAAACTAGGAATATTCAACTGACAGGCCATGTTATTGTGAACCTCTTACATTTGACCATAGCATCCCGAAATCCAGGAACGCCAGAGGTGATATTGGGATTTTCTCGAAGGCGTAGCTGAATCAACATAAGAACTTGGACGAGCAAAATGCAACAAACCCAAAAGTCTGGAAACTGGCATGATTCCAGCAGCGTCCCAAGTTCGACCACCAATGACAGGGGCTCCTCATTCAACTAAAAACAAATAGCATTTTTCACTGAATTCTTACGCGATCCAAATGGATCAGATATTTGCAAATTGTGAAGTCCGTGGGATTCAGACTGGCCAGAGCCTTTAGTAGGACAAGCCTTGTCGCATCGGCATTGAACAGTTCAGGATAAAACTGATACCTATTATCCATAATAAAGTTAAGGGAACACGAAACATACAGTCGCAACAGTGCTAAGTTCGCTTCAAAGTCGTACTCGCCTGTACTGGCCTGCCAATTCAGATGCTGCTCTAAGATTGCCTTGTGTTCTGGATTATAGCTTCGTACATAGAATTTCCATAAGGAAACCTACTTTTCAATGCCATTCAAAAGTCCGTGGATGTTAGCTTTCGGATCCATTTCGCGTGAGATGATAGCAGTTCGTCAGTCACAAAGTATTACAGACGGATAGGAAGACGCCGTACCTGGATAATAAAGAGAACGAAGTGAGGGTTGTTTGAGTACTTAGGTATTTGAAAACAGTAAGATTTCTAGTTTAAAAAAGTGTCATTGATACAACCAAAAGTCCAAAATTTAAGAACCAGTATCAAGCGAATATCTCAGAACGGGAAAATCATCCACAAGGTTGCCAACTGGGATGGTGTACCGTAGACAGTCGTAATTTCAGAGAGGTGTATTGAAAAGAATATATGGAAGGTGTGGTGCAAGAGAGGACAGGAGAGAATATTTAAAAGCCGACCAGTGAGTGACACCCGATAGGAGAAAATATAATTGGGTTTGGTCGGATTATACGGGAGCAGATAGTTTGTTCCTTGAAATTGTGCAATCCATGGCTGTACAGCTTCTAAGGTCTGTCTATGCCCCATATTCCGAAGGAACCTATAGTCTTCGACAGACGACACTTGTCAGGCTGCCGGTGGGATGTGGTCTTTCGGAAAGGAGTACGAACTTCACCAAGGAAAGGCCCCCTAGGGTGCTGAAAACGTGTGCTAGGTATCACCAGTTAATTGAGGGCAACGTTGATCGGTCGATCGCCATTTTCATAAACCAAACCCCCAGGGATGTGATGGATGGTGCTGTCTACCATTTTCACAGCGTCATTCTAAACCGAATCCCCCAGGGATGTGATGGATGGTGCTGTCTCGCGTTCTAGTCGTCAGTAATCAGTTGATTCGACCGTAAGGTTGGCTACACTTTGTATCCCATTCTTTTAAAACGAGCTGTCGTAACCCTGAGCGATAGTGACCCTCAAGGGTAAGACGTCTTGCGCACGTATGCCGGGCCGTGCATACCCGAGCCCATAGTGAACCACTGAATGCACACTTCCAACGGCCCCTCACTTTCGGTTGTTTGTTTATCAGCGTCTTACGGCCGCGTTGCTGCCGGTACGCTCGCCTCTAGCTTTCGGTTCCAGTCATCTACGACACAGTACTTGGTGTTGCTCTCCAATCGAATTCTTCCTTTTTGGAAATCGTTTGTTGGTAGGTGTAACCTAGAGCGTATAGGTTACTTGGTTCACAGTGATGGTCAGTGGGAGGGTCCCATCCCTGGAAATGAGAAGCGGTTTGGATCGAAACAAGGAATCCGTGTATGTAAAAGGCAAGCAATGCCGGAGTGCGGACATTTCAACAGTCTGAATGTAATTGTGGGATAAGACGAAGGAAGCCCAACTTGCACATTCGTCACCTCCAAAAATCTGTTTGAGATACATTGCGCGGATATATAATCGTTAAGCAACGAGACGTTTTCACAATCTATCCATATTGAACACTTAAGATGTGAGGCCGGTACGCAGTCTCATGAAATGTTACCATAGATGTACACTCTATGGTAACGTCGATGACGAGATGGTCCAAGTGGTGAGAGCGCGAATTTACTGATCGGACGGTGCGTGGTCCGAAACCGACCTCTGTCTCTCGACTTCCCCTGTCTAGGCTTGGGCAACCTGGCAGTACCCCAGCCCTCGTGCTTCCTTCGGGTGGCATGGAAGCTAGGCACCGGAAGGGCGCTACAGCTGAATGCTTTTTTAAACGTCGAAGACGAAACTGAACGAAACGGATACAAGTCTGACAAACTTCACTAGTCAGGACGCTTCCGGATGCCATCATTACCACAATATAAAATCGGTGTTTAACACCGATGCTTCGCTATCGTACAGGCTTATGAATAGTTAATTCTGCACCGTAAGGCTCGATACAAATCAGTGGTTGAAGTCCCAGGTTACTGATTACTAACCCAGTCCGGGCACAGATTATCGGAAGATACAGATTCACGAACCAAGCTGGGTTTCGCTATGGCCGAGGATGAATCGACCGTGTCTCCTTCAGACGTCCCATGTTAGTCGTTTTTCTTGATGTAAAAGCTGCTTTAGACTGTCGATCGTCAGATACTTCGGCAGTGTTTTGCGATCAAAGGGATCCCTTTGGAATTTGTACGCTTTACGGTAGTACTGCATGCGAACCCCTGTGGGCACGTACGAGTATACGGCAAGCTTTCGCTTCAGTTCACAATGTCCAGTAGGGTAAGACAAGACTGCCCTCTCTCACCTGTCCTCTTCAACTTTGTTATTGGTGCGCCGCCTGAGATTTCTCTGCCTGTCTCTGAAATCTCGAGGGTTGAAATGCTCCCAAGAAGTTCCCTCACGGAAATCGGGTATTGCTATCCTTGGTTCAGATCCTTCAAAAATGCAAGGTTTGGCATGCGCTGCACACCTGCAAAGGGTAGATTGCTGCTTCAAAACTGGGTGGGACCAAACCAAAACCTCATGCTTGTAGACGAGCCAATCGATGAGGTAGATAATTCCCAGGGGACTGGCTGGAGATGAGGTTACTTCTCGGATCGAGAAAGCCAGGGGAGTTTTTTTCCGACCTCAGATGCCTCTGACGCCGACGTGCTTCGGCTTGTTAAGAGCAGGGTTCACGCTGAAGTAGTGCAATTTATCCTGCTTTGTGGACCAAAAATGCGGCCCCTAAGTGTAGAGGACATAGAAAAAGTATCCGTGTTTGGCCATCGGTGTCTGCGAAGCATTGGTCTGGTGGGAACATCGGATTAGTAATGCTGAGGTGCGCGAGATGGCCCTAAAAAGGACACTCCCGCGATAGATGAACTACTGACGCTTCATAAGTTAAGCTGGTTAGGACATGTACTGCGCATAAAAGAAGGCAGTTTGCCTCGCAGAGCTGTTTTGAGTAGAAGCGACCAAAAGGTGGGCACTGAACAGCCAAGGAATGATATACGAAAACACTAACTAGTTAACTTAGTCGGGTCGGCAACTTCCACCTCACTGGATGGGGACCCCAGGACTCATCTCAGCAATGGCTAATGATACTGACAGAAATGGCCCAGTCATGCAGCCATGCACTCACTCATGCATCAAAGCGATCACCTTCAATGCGTAGCTATCTGATTCCCGAAGGAACTGAACATGCCATCACCTCCAAGGCTTGGCTGCATGTTTCACACTGTCCCGGTGATCGAAACTGTAGCAGCCGGAACCAACGTGCCTATGGTACATGGTTTATGGCTGATGAATTGAACTGACTGGCTTGTTCAAAACGAAGGCAAGAAAACGTAGTTGAGACACATAAGAAATAACCTATGCCCATGAGCTTGCCACGTCAGTTACTCTACGAAGGTTTTCAGTAGCACCCGACAACTATATTGCTTTTGCGACAGTCGTGCCACTTCACTACGTCGAAAACTGGCAGCCTGCGAGTTGTCGACAAGGTCAGCTACCGTCCGACGAGCTGAAATTGCTTAGATAGACCTATAGTACGTCAGGCGGCGTACTTAAAATCGCCTCTCTAATACGTTAAACCGTAGTATATAGTGTATGCAGTCTTAATTATGCAATATCCACTTGCAAGGTAACAAATATACAGCCGGTTCAAGAACAGTTCGTTCTGTGTGTTCATCGTCATCAGCATCATCACCTGAGACGGCAACACTACCGGAGGACACTGATGCCTTACTGCCATGCTTCCACGTCAATCCAACCGAATAAAGACTTATAGTGGAAAGAAGGAAGAAATGGGGCACGGATAGGGACCTAGGGCCGGTGTCCATACACACTTAGTCGGATAGTCTGGATATAAACTGACAGATAAACCACTGACATCGGTTAGCCGGTATACCGTCCAACCGTCTCTAGCCAAGAACAGGGATAGTCACGTGGACCCTATCCCGGGAGATGAACAGCAACAAGTGTCCAAACCTTTCGGAACACCTTTTGTAGCCACCCTTTCGCCACATTCATGACTGTACAGGTTACTGACACTCGCTAGATCACGAGATCTGTCTTTTTCCCTTACACTCACAAATCACGCCACAGAATCGTGACTCACTTGACTACACACTCACAGCCAAGCCCTTGATCCTAAGACTCACTTTCTTTCCTGCACGTACAAATCACGACACACAAAGGTGACTCATCTGACATCGACTGTCTAGCGACTGATAAGGTAGCAACAAGTCATCTGCTGACGCCCACACGCAAACGTCCCTACACATAAGATAACAGCACAGCAACGCAACACAACATAGCTTTGCACGTCGCCCAACGCGGAGCAGAGCCGCTCAGGACCTACGGCGCTTCACTCACGGATATCCAGGAATACGTGTGGCTGCTACAACAGCGAAGAAGACACAAAACCTGCATCCGGACTTAAAACAGGATTTATCAACCTGTATCTGCAATGCGATAAGTCTCTTGTTCGCATATATACTGGTTGTAATAATTTTATTCAACATGCAGATATTGTTAGTGCTCCCCATTTTCTCGTTCGTATAACTAATTTTCGGGTTCTAGTAGAGCATTAACACTTCCATTCCTTTCTGCCACGTCAAATTGCCTATTAATAGGTTTCCACCACTATGAATTATGAAGGAAAAACAACGTTCGTCTCGACAGGTAGTAACTGAGCATGTGCAACACATAGCCCTGCCATCCTTGCTGGCAGTGGTGTATGCTCCAACAGGTCTCGCGATCACATCACTGGGACTTCGTTGGTTCCATCCCATTCCGAATATAGTTCTGAGACATCGATGGACAAGGATTTGAAGCAGTCCCAGATCCTCCACCCGAATGTGCCATGTCTTGCAGCCGTGCAACAATAAAGCCCTACTGTATTCTGACACAAGCTTAGTTTGGAGCTCAGAGATATTCTTTTTGACGTCACAAGTGGCGTAAATTGGCAAACGTAATTCTGGTTCTCGAAGAGTTCACTTCGTCTGACACAGTATCGTTATAGCAAATGCAACTTACGAAATACATATGTTGTTCTACAACCTCGAGTATAACTTCGTGAACTCTCAGAGATATGTCCAGAGCTACGTCCTGCAACACTTCTTTGTGGAAGCGGGACACATGCCGAAGGACTGGATGGCCCCAGCCAGCTTTT